ATCCTATCCTATCCTATCCTATCCTATCCTATCCTATCCTATCCTATTCCATTCCAGTCTATTCTATCCTATTCTATATTATTCTACTCTATTCCATTCCATCCTATTCCATTCTATTCTATTCTACTCTATTCTTGTTAAATGAGAAATTGGTTAAGTGGATTTTGCCCCATTTTACGACTTTTCTTGCCACATTTGTTCAGTGAATCACTGAACCTGTTAAATTAGTAACACAGTTATTAAGTGAATCTGGCTTCCCCCACTGAGTTTGCTTGTCAGAAGGTTGCAAAGGGGGATTAGGCGACCCTGGGACACTGCAATGGTCATAAATATGAACCAGCTGTCAAGCATCCAAATTCCAAATGTAAATCACCTGCCCAGGGGAATGCTGCCACTGTCGTAAGTGTGAAAAATAGTCCTAAGTCATTTTTTTCAATGCCATTGTAACTTTGAACAGTCACTAAGCTAATTGTAAGTCGAGGACTACCTGAGAGGGGGGGGGAATAGTTAACAGGTTCAGCGGCAGCAAAGTTAAAGTTCAAGGCTCTCTGCTAACATACGAGTTATTTTTAAAATATTTTGATAACCATGTTTGATTTGAACATCACATAGGAGTTGATAGGTTTCATCAGACATCCAAATTACAACGTTGTTCATGCTCCCATCCTGGTTTGTCTAAACTGGCTTCTTTTCTTTCCAGAGAAGCACCTCCAACTCTGAAGAGGAGGAAGAATTGGTGAGTTTTCACATGGTTGTTTTTCTCCTTGGAAAAGGGGCTCTACCCCTTCCTCCTTCCCAGTTAACCATTAGCAGAAGATCAATCCCACCGTTTGCTTAGGGCTGCTTGCTTTTCCTGTCCAGGAAAACACAAGAAACGGAATATTATTAACCTGGTGCTTTTTACTGCGCAATGTTGTCGTGGGGTGAACAAAAATGGAGCAACAACGGGGAAAAGGATTCAGCTCGGGCAAATCAAATCAAGGCGTTTATGGCTTATAAAAAAAGCACAACAAAGAATGTTCTTTATGCGCCAACTCAGAAAGCTCCAACTGCCCAAGGAGCTGCTGATTCAGTTCTACAGAGGAATGATTGAGTCTGTCATCTGCACCTCTATAAGTGTCTGGTTTGGGCTCTGCAACCCAACAAGACAGACACCGACTTCAGAGGATAATTAGGACTGCAGAAAAAACAATGGCTACCAACCTGGCTTCCATGGGGGACCTGTATACTGTACGAGTCAAAAAGAGGCCTGTGAAAATATCTACAGACCCCTCACATCCTGGACAAAAATTATTTCAACTTCTACCCTCAAAACAATGCTATAGGGCACTGCACACCAGAACAACTAAACACACGGACAGTTTTTTCCCCAATGCCATCACTCTGCTAAACAAATAATTCCCTCAACACTGTCCAACTATTTACAAAGTCTGCATTACTATTACTATTAAGCTTCTCATCACTCCTTATCTCCCATCCCCTCCCACTTTGTGACTGTATGACTGTAACTTTGTCACTTATGTCCTTATGATTTATATTGACTGATTCTTAGTATGATATGATTGCTTCTTGTACTCTATGACTATCATTAAGTGTTGTACCTGATGATTCTTGACAAATGTATTTTTTTCCTTGATGTACACTGAGAGCATTTGCACCAAGACAATTTCCTTGTGTATCCAGTCACACTTTGCCAATAAAGAATTCTATTCTATTCTATTCTATTCTATTCTATTCTATTCTATTCTATTCTATTCTATTCTATTCTATTCCCAACCCATTCATTCTATTCTATTTTACTCTATTTTACTCTACTCTACTCTACCCAACTGTGTTGATGACCTGGGTTAGTTAACATACGATCACCTGTACAATATTTCCAACACAGTGATATTCTTCCTATAATCAAGTAGGTGGTACACCTGCCACCGTGATTTTTTCTAAAATTTCCCTTCAGTTGGATCTCACTTTTAATCATATCAACAATAAAATTGCCAGGGTAGGGGACCATATCTGGAATCCCAGTTCTTCCTTTGTTGATCCTTCCTGCCCTGTTTTCATTGTTTCAGCTTCTCGGTGATGACAAAATCATCCTCCACAGCTACAAGATCCAGTCCACCATTACGTCCCGCATGGCCAACACGATGGTCCAGACTAAAGTGGAAAACAGAGCTAAGAACTCGCAGAATATGGTCTTTGATGTCCAGGTCCCTAAAGGGGCCTTTATCCACAATTTTACTATGTAAGTTGGAGCAAAACTACTTCGTCCATTTAATTTTCTCATAGGCTGAATAGGTTCCTCCCAGGCTAAGCGGGTTGGAGATTTGTACTTTCCAAATTGCCAGATTGATGTCAGCCTTCCCAGGTTGACCAGGAAACACAACCAGATTATATGTTCTTTATAAGGTATATAGACCTCCTATTGTATTGTATTCTGTTGTGTTGTGTTGTATTATGTTGCATTACATTGCATTCTGTTCTATATTATTGTGTTCTGCTCTGTTCTATATTGTTCTGTTCTGATCTGTTCCATTCCATTCCCATTATGTCTCTTCTCTTCTCTTCTC